TTTGTTCACAATTTTGATGCAAATGTGGGGGGGGGGGGGGTAAGTCTTTCTCATTCTAATGTAATTAATAGTGCAGCAGCGCTCTGAAATGTTTTCCTGTTCATTAAAGTGGAAAATTCTCACATCACATCACATTGAGTACATCCCCACAGAATGGAAGGGAATATTAGTGCAGAGCACCCAATGGAAAGCAAAAAAGAAAGATTGAATAGTACCCACCTACCCATGTCTCACACTTCACAAACATGAAGAATTATTAATATTATTATTATTAAGTATTAAAAAAACTTAAATAGAATATGCTGACTAGCCATGTGGTTTCCATTCTCAATCATGGAAGTGTAGTGTATAAAAGCATCCCCCCCCTGGGTCTCATTCTAAGGTGCCACAGCATCTGTTGCAAAATTAGGGTTTAGGAAATTCCTTTTTTCCAGGGGAGGTAAGGTCAGACTATTTATTATTATACACTAAAGTAGTGAACCTCTGGAAGGTGTGCACCTCATGAAGCATTGTGGGGTGCACAGTCTCCATGGCCCTCCACCACTACCACTGCCACCATGACACTGCTACTGCTGCTACTAAGTTACTACTCCCCACTCTACTTACAGCTTCCAACTCCCACCATCCATTTCCAGCCCCCAACTGGACAGTGCAATGTTGTATTTCAGCCCCAAAATATGCTTCTGGACAACACCCAATTGGGGAGGGTGGCAGGGCAGGTTTTGGAGGGTTGGAATTATGGATGTTTGGACTGTGTCAGAAACGGGGGATGTGGTCATGTGCACCCTCTTGGCTTTGCTACTATAAATGCTTTTTTGCTTGGGAAAGTGGTGGTCTTTAGAAATGGCCCAGATATTCCACAGTTTTTAATTCTTGTTGATCTTCTAGCCAAGAGTAGAGGGAATCAAAGGGACATGTAGAAAAGTTATCTAGAAGAGGAAGAGTTGCCTCTATTCCATCGTACTATTTACTTTTTATCACTGTTGTGCAAAAAAGAACTTAAAGTTTGGTTGATTTTTTTGATATTAAGTGTAGAGTTCAAACTATTGTTTTTGTTCATTTGTGTAGATGACTCAGTTCATTAAACTATTGAACACTGATTGCTTGTAATTTATGAGAAATTGTTCTATTTCAACTTTAAAATAAATTGTAGTTTCTTTGTTTTTGCTTTACTTTTTTCTCTTCTATAAACTATTAATAGTATGCATGACACTGAAAGTAGAAATAATTAAACAATGAAAGCAACATCAAAATTATATTGCTTTCTTAAATTTTTCTTTTTATCTCTATCTTTCAAATGACATAATCACATAATGGATTCCAATTATAACATAATATATATATATATATATATATAGAGAGAGAGAGAGAGAGAGAGAATAAATAATGTGTGGTAAACTACACAATGCAATGATTATTTAATATATGAACATAAAATTAACTATTAATTAATGTTGCTCAAGAAATCATTCTACACAAGTTGTTTTCAGTCTATGCAACTTGAAATGTTTATCATATTGATGTCATTGTCAATATGTATTTATGCTACCAATAGAAAACTAAATTTGTAAATTTGTAAATCCTTGTCTTACAATCTTTTCAGCTATTGTAAAAGTTTGTTGTATTTTTGGTTACACTTAAAAAAAAATTATACTATGTATTGGGTTTTTTAATGATATAGTTGAATATACCAATTTATGAAACACAAGTTTTTGAAATTTGAAACCAATTTTTTTGAATTTAGAATACTTAAAATTATTTTAAAAACTTGCAGGTCTATTATTAAAGTATTAATAACAGTCATAGTAAGAATGTAAATTAAAATTTGTGAACAAGCTAAATCAAATAAATGGTATTCACAAAATAGTAATATAGTAAATTAGTAGGACGATAAAATGATACATACATAAAATATATTTGACAAAGTGAATGTAAACCTTTACGGGTTATAAAATACTGAACTTAATGCAACGAAAATATCATTGGTTGATTCCAATTGTCCAAGTAGAACAATTTATTTAAAACTTCAACATTGATCCTCACATTATTTCATTAATTTCAAAAATATATCAAAGGTTTCTATGGTGAGTGTTGTTAAAAATTCCAAATCTTGATTTGAAATTTATCCAACCTAGAAACCAATTTTAAATAAAACACATTAATAAATTTATAAGTTATATTTTTGATCAAGATCATACAAATAGTACAAGTGTTAAGTTTTGAAGATCCATACAATGTACTGAATAGTACTTGTTGTTTTACAAAATTAATAAATGTTTCATCACATCATTGTCTCTCAGAATGAAAAATTGGTTTGCTGTTGCTTTCAGGTGTCATGCAAAAAGGAAATTAGGGTAAATTTTCATGGCTCATTAGTACCACAATATTGTAATACCCAAAATTCATACAATAACTGCTCTTTCTCCTGTTGTGTACATTTCAAAAAGACAATACAAAGCAATGTAGGAAAAATAAAAGCAAAAGAAAGTTCCTTCACAATCAATGACATTTTTTTTTTTTTTTTTTTTTTTTCATTTTAACTTTTAAAATATTCCAATAATAAATACAATGCATCCATTCTTTTAACGCATGTTTAAACATCAAAATCTACATATTGGTTCAAATGTCTTGGTAGATGCTCCACACTCCACAAACAATGTTTCTAATTTTACCAAAAATAATGCCTTGTAGCTTCATACAAGATTTTAAGGAATGCTATTAAATATGAATTTGGAAAACAAATTAAAGTCTCATAAGTTGGACACATGTTGGATGACGTATAAAACATTGTTTTATAGTTCTTTAGTTAAATAGTGTATATAGAGGCAATAGTGAGGCCTTTCTTATTCTTGTTAATACATTTCTTGTCTTCTTGTCTTAGCTCAAAAATATCTAGTATCTTTATATTTGGCAATAATCATTTTAGTATCTATCTTATATCTATCCTCAATTTGTCTTCAATTTGTCTACTTTCTCTTTTTGAGCATCACAAGGATGTATTGCTTCTTTGGAGCTTTGTTATAATTCATATCTTTGACAATAACTTGATAATATCATATGATGTTGCTCATGCCCAACCAAAGTTGTTAATCTATTTTAGTCTATATTTTTTAAAAAAAAATTGAAAATAGACAATTGATTTAGACCAATTAATTTTAAGATTTGATGTTAAACTAAGTTATTTAATAATACTTATCAAAGTACGAACACTATATATATATATTTTTTCTTCTAATTGTGATTGTGGAGTTGTTAGAATATTAGCTTATTATTTGTTGGTTATAATTTGTGATGGGTCGATTGATACTTATTGTGGTATTAGCATCTCTAAAGATGATCTTGATCATGTAACAAAACAAAGTATTAAAACCAAATTTCTTTAAGCTTTGAAAAAAAAATGTATATATATATATATATATATATATATACATATATATATATATCCAAATAAAATTTATCATATCTTTTTGAGAAGTCAATTTTTAGAAGAATAAGAGGTTGCTTAGAAGATTTGGTCTGGCTAATTGTTTCTTGTGTGAATAACACATTATGAAAAATATAATGTTGGAAAAGAAAGACATTTTTGTTTAGATTAAGTAATTCTTATAAAACAACCTTAAAGTTGCTTTTGGAGCATTTCAATGTAGATTTTATGTGTGGTGTTATTTATTTTGATATCTCTCCAATTGCAAAATATTGATTTGTCCTCTCTTTTGTGAAGTAGAATAATATGTTGTTTGACAAAGCTTTGAGAAAAACATTTTTAGCCAATGTTTGATTAATCATCAAAATATAGTCTTTACCAATTATATTCCAAAATATTTGAAAGAATTTGATCCTAATGCCATCAAGCATAAAAATAAGCATTATTATCTGATCACAAATAATCCATACGCCACACAAAACGGGCTGATAAGTCAATGTTCACACAAATGGAACGAGGAACCAAGGATCTTTGACCGGTGAATTCATCGAATGGCAAGGGCACAATGATCGGTGACCGTCGGTGGCGCGGGAATAGGGGATGGTTGGGTTGGGTTGGGTTGTGGACAAGGATGGACAGTAGAGAGGGACCTGTTGGAAGCGTCGGGGCCAAGGGGAAAGGCGAGGCGAGGCGAGGCGGCAGCGACAGGAGTGAGAGAGGGGCGCCATCCACCCAGTTGCAGATGCTACAGCTGCAGCGCAATGAGACCCCACCGGGAGCGACGACGAGGCCAACTTTAGCGGCATATCGGATGGGGCCGCGGATTCTGTGTATTGATTTAGGAGCCAGCGCCAGGGGCAGAGCAGAGCACGAGGAAATCTGGGGGGCCAGCCACCGCCATCCATCGCTTCCCTCGTCGCGTCTCGTCCGCTCATCGTCTCTTTCCACGCCCTCCATCCACCTGCGCATCCGTCCCGCGCCACATCATTGCTAGGCTCCAACAACCCGCTCTGCTTCCCTCTCCCGCCCCCAACACACCACAAATGGATCTTTCCTTCCTGACAAACCCACGAGGAATTCAGTATTTGATATCGATGCGTCGTGGACTGGTCAGGATTGCTGGCGGAGGGGGACAATGTGGAATGCTCTGTCCACATCCGGATGCGCGGTAAAAGTAAGAGACGAAGAAGGCGAAGAAAACGGGAAAATCACTTGTTGGAGGAATTTCACTCGAACCAGGAGTTGCGGGGGTTGACAGTGTTCGACGATTTTTCTGCGACTGGAGGAAGAATGTGAAGACGCGAGAATGAGAGGAGAGTTCAGTTGCCAGCACAGAAAAGAGCGATCTCGTTCTGAGAGCTTTGTTTAGATTTTTTTTCCAGATATAATTTCGATGTGCATCTTCCAGTGCTGTCCATAATTATCGCAGAAGCACTCGGCAGCTGGCTCGTGCAGCGTTCCGCACCTCCCATCTCACTTGTTGCTTGTCGCTTGTGGACTGGAATTTCTCGTCGCTTTTACACAGGGACAAGAGGAAAAGGAAAGAGGACGAATAGGATGAGCAGACGACTATCTTTTCCCGATTGGAGCCAAGGTTGACTGATGAGCTAAGGCATGGGCTGTGGGTTTTATTTTTTGTTTGTGCGTTTTGCAAGTGTTTAGAATATTCGTCTCGGTTAGTCTGAGTAGAGAGCGGCGCCCTCAGTTAGCTAGGTTCTACTTACAGACTGCCTTTTAGTATCGGTATTGCTAGGAGAGTATGGACCGTCCGTTGACGCATCTCTCTCTCATCTTCTAATTGTTGATCGATTGCGGTCCAGTGCTTGTAGCAGGTTATGATTGATATACAGCATGATTTCGCATCAGAAATCCTGCGACCTTGTGCGTTGATGATTGGTAGTCGGTGGGCTTCTGTGTCATAAAATTACTACTGACTGATTTTATAGAGGCGCCATTCTTGTGTGGAGGGTTGTGGTCTGGTGACGCTTCCGTCTCGCATGGAGAAGATATGACGGACGCAGTAGCAAGCGTCTTCTGCGTGGTTACAATGGTTACTGGAACTTGGTTCTCAGTTAACGGGTCGTTGCGAAGCATTGTTCGAAGACTCTGAGTGTAATCGAATTTAGCGTCGCTGTTGAATCGTGTGTATCGTGGTTGGATCCTTACGCCAGTGAGCGACATTGTATGCACGTCATTCTGACGACTAAACCGGTACTGAATCTTCTACATAACCGTTCGAGACTGCTCTCGCCATGGCCGCAACCCTTCATGCGCCTTTGTCTCTCGACATTCTTCCTGATGAGGGTCGGTCCATGTTGAGACGGCAGGGGTCATTGACTCCAGGTAGTAACTCCCCGAAGGTGGACTGGAAATCTAGCGCTGGATTGGGTGCTGGAAACAAGGGAGGAGGGCAAGGCGTCACTACTATTCGGCGGTCCCTTTCGGTCGGGTCTGCACTTTCAGATTTCCTCGGAAGCAGCTCGTCGAGGAAGTCTTTGGAAATAAACTCGTCCATGAAGAGGTCTGGTAGCAAAGGTTGTCTGGAAAGCCTGGAAGCTAGTAGTAATTTTAAGGCAATCTCTGACGGGGATGATAGGTGGGAGAGGTTCGAGGAGGAGTGCAATTGGAATTTTGCAACCCTTGAGAACACCAACCGGTCAGGAGGTACGATGCACAATGATACCTTTCCTTCGGTTCAGCTACCTTCTCAGGAATGGCACGGTTTGGGGAAAAACAAGGCAGCGCCATCTTTTCCACGACCTGGTAACAGTTCTCGGACGGAACTCCAACGAACTTTCTCCATGGGTCATACTGTGCCGTCGAAGACACCAAAATCACCGCAAAAGTCCGTAGTGGTTGAGCAAGCGCAGCAATCGTTCGATTCTTTGAAGGACAGGCTGGATTCTTCTTTGCGGATGCAACCTGAGTGTTCGTATGGCTCTGCGAAGTCCCCTCCTGTGGTCAAGCTCTTACCAGCGCCTCCCACTATGGATGTCTCGCCTCGTAAAGATGTGAGATTTTCTGGCATAGTCCAAGTTGTGTCAGGTTTAAATTTGTCTGCGCTGCCTCGGAGCCTTAAGCGACGAAAGAACAAGGAGAAGAATATGTCGAGGCCTCGTTTGTGTGCCATGAGCAATGGCTTCTCAGCAATGGCGTTTATTATCAAGAGCATGCACAGGCATGTCCTGGAAATGCAGGAAGACCACCTACTGAACCTCGTCACTCCAATGCATCGAGACATGGATTTGTCTTTTTCTTTGCTCTTCCAGCAAGTGTTTGCAAGGACGCCGGAGTACATGCTCGCTGTTATGGTCTTACTTGCAGAGTTCTCCGTGCTTTCCCTGGGAAAGCACATGGCCTTCGCGGCCGCTGTGAACATGGCCAATCCGGAGGTATCCCTTCCGGATGGCATTTCTGCTTCTTCCAAGAAACGGGTTGAGTCTGGTGTGGCCGAGGATTTGAGTAGACGCCAAGAAGCTGCACTTTCTCCTAAGCCTGGAAACTCGCACATTTTCAAAGTGCCCACAGAATGTTTTAACGGAAGCTTCCCAAAACTTTCTGCTGCAGAGGAGTCAATCATGCTATCAATGATGTCTGAGACTGTGAAGCAGCTCGAGGCTGACTCAGGATGGCAGCCGGTTACTCATGTTGATCGTGAAGTTACTAAGATGCTCGTTGCACCGGTGCAAGCCACTCTGAGTCCTGACAATTACCCCTGCTTCGACCGAACAGATCTTGAGTATCAGCACGCCATCAGCTTGCAGCCCAACAATGTCATGCTCCTCTCCAACTACGCGCAGTTTCTCTACGTTGTTCGTCACGACAACAACATGTATGACACTTCTCTCTCCTAGTATCTTCTTGTGCAGTGGCTATTTTTGGTGACTACGAGTAAGTTGTCTTGTCCTTGGATTTCAAGATGTAAGTTAAAACTCTAATTCAATTTTTCTTATGCCTTTCTTTTCTTTTGTTAGGGCTGAAGAGTACTTCCATCGTGCCATACGTGCGGATCCGTCGGATGGGGAGGTTCTGGGCCGGTTCGCTAATTTCCTATGGCTCGCCCGCGGAGACAAGGAAACAGCAGAAAGAGCTTTCAGGGCTGCTGCTGCTTTGGATCCTGCCAACCCCTACCATGCTGGCAACTACTCCCACTTTCTTTGGCACTCAGAATCGAACTCCCAAAGTGTCACTCCACATGTTACGTTGTGAATTCATGATTCGTCGAAACAAAGCCGTCTCACTTGATTGATGTGAATCCTTAGTATATTTGGTAACTTCAACGTCGTATCACAAATCACACGACTTTTCGATGGAGTTATCTATTTTTCCCGCCAATATTTCGACATACCTTCTGAATCTTCTCAAGGAGTTTCGGAAACCTATGTGAGTTAGTAAACAGTTATCCTGCAGAGAAACCCCTAACTTAACTAGTCTCATGTGGACTTCACAATTTTGATCCCAGTGTATAAAATCGATGTGGTGCTCGTAAGGTAGGTCACGTTGAGAATGACAAAGTAGTTTATGGACGCTTGCAGCAAAAATCTAGCCTGATAGCCAGCAAAGGTCCAATACCTCCGACTGAGTTTGATATGTGTAAATTGTCCATAAGCATAATTAAAATTCTGTTTCTGCCGCGCTTGAAGACTTGTAATCTCGCTGTCAGCACATGCTTTCCAGAAGAGCATGTATCAGAGCGTTTATCAAAAGCTGTCGTGTTGTAACTATTCACGTGCTCTGTGGTGGATCTTGTGACACAACTGTCTAGTGCAACAACGATTACTATAATTACAACAAGAGTTTCAACAATGGCAGACCTAGTAATATATTCGTCAGTATCTGATAGTAAGGTTATGGATCATTCGCGGCCTTTTCTCTAAAATTAGGTCTTAATCTCAACAGCCTTATACCCCCATAAACGGCGTCGACAAAATTTGATAAGTCGTATCCCGTCCAGTCTGCAGATTTCTTATCACAACGATCAACTGGGTTCCATCGAATATGCGGCGAGTCCACAAGTGATAAATGCTAGCAGGCGATTTTGTCTTATTGTAGTAGTATAGTATGTTTAAGGAAGGGATGTGTAAGTGAGCATGAAGCTAGGATGAGTGCTCTGTGGACGTGCCTCTAATTTGCAAAATTTCTTCCGGCAATTAAGGGTGGCATAGTAAGAGAAATGAAACTGAGAATTTATCTTATAGATTGCCGAAGTTTAGCTTGTGTTTCTATGGTAACAAATTTTAGAGGATGTAGCTTCTTTAATATATGAGGGAAAGTTATAATACTTCTTGACTTTTTGGAATGTGGATCTTTCTTCATTTTGATCTATTTAATTTGTTGCTAAACTTATTAAATTATTGTTCAAGTGGGCTTTGTTGGTATCATAGACATATATATTTACATATATTAAAGAAATCAGATAGAAATAAATAGAAGTAAGTAGAAGTAAATAGATTTGATAGTATTTTGTAGAAAAGCTTTTTAAAACTTTATAGATGTAGATTTGAATTTATACATATTTGTAGGTAATTGATATGTTGAAACCTTGGCCAATAAATTGGCCATGTGTTGCACATGTTGGTGACTTATAATACAAGTTGACCATATGGCATACATATAAGAAACTTGTCTTGCAAGTTAGATACATATCAAAGGTCCTATAGAATATTGCCACCTAGCTCTTAATTAGATAGTATATATAGAGACAAGAGTGAGACCTACTTTACTCTTATCAATTTCTTTCTTGCTAATAATCTAGTTTACAAAGTATGTAATTTTGTAGTCTTTGACAAAAGCCATTGTAATTTTTAAATAATAATATTTAAAAATAAACATCTCTACTTTTTGGTAACAGAAGAATGTATTGAGGTTTTTATTGTTTGTAATTCATGCCTTAACATCTCTATGAGTTCTTGATTATTTATAAACATCTATGATTAATTGATTGATCTATCATCAAATCTCTATAGGCAACAAAAGAATTACTAATTTGGTATAAAGAAATTATAACTATCTTAGATATTTATATCAAAATTTCTGTTAGGGACATAGTCCTTAGACCTTTCTAGAGACAAGTTTCTAGAACCTTCTAGAAAGAAATCTCTAGAAACTTCCAGAAGATCCTTTGAATATTCTTTTAGAATATTCTTCAAAGATTCTCTAAAGATTCTTTGAAGATTCTCTAAAGATTCTCTTAGAAGGCTCTAGAAGATTCTTAGAATATTCTAGTAGATTCTAGGAAGTTACTTTAGAAGCTTCCTAGCTCTTGGGTAGTTGCTCGAGAAGCTTCATAGTTCTTGGGAAGCTTCTTGATGCGCTTCCTTAGAACCATAGGCCAGTAGTATATATAGGAGTCGAGGCTGAAGAGTTCTTCAGTCTGGACAACACATCTCTTGAAGCTCTAGCTCAATTCTCTTGGCGTTGCTCTTGTACTCATCTGATAATCTAGTTCTTGTCATTTCTTCTTGAACTTCTTGTTTAGATTTCTTGTTTGTATTTTTGGTCCGTGACAGTTTGTCGAGACTACCTTTATCTTAATATCAGAGCTGAATCCTTCTTGTTTGAGAGCGGATTACCCCTCTTCTTGAAGGTATTCGAGCGCTTTAGGGGTTGCGGATTACCTTCCTCTAAACTGATATTTTCTTAATCACAATATCAGAGCTTAGTTCTTTGAGGCAGAGAGTGGACTACCCCTTTCCTTGGAGATACTTGAGCGTTCTAAGGGTTACGGATTACCCTCTCTTGGACTGATATTAATTCCTTCTTTTTGTTTAGCATAGCTAGTAAAAAAGACTGTTAACATCGATTTCAGAGCTTTGCCTTCTTGATAGAGTGCGGATTACCCCTCTTCTCGAAAGCATTGAGGCATTTTTAGAGGTTGCGGATTATCCTCCTCTAAAACTGAAATCGTTTAGTGTTTTTTTTTTTCTTTTCTCCGAGTAGGTTTTAGTGACAGGTAGTGCTACAATTTTCTCCAAGAGACTTAGCAATTTCTTCTTCTCTCAAAATTTTAATCCATCTATTCTCTAAATATGGAAGTAGACCAGATCATAGACAGTGCATCTCGACAAGTAGACAATAGAGTCGCAACTCTTGCAGATCTTCAAGCTCTTATGAATACTGTATGAAAGGAGATTACATTTCTTCGCAATCCAAGTAAAGAACCTCAAATTGATCTAGTGACCGAAGAAGCTAGACGCGAAATTCATAGCCTACAACAAGAGATTATTCGACTGAGAGAAGCAAGACATGTGTCACATACGACCCCTATGGATACTTCAAGGATTAGTATGAAAGAACCAAAAGCGAGTATGCCAGACAAGTTTGACGGAACAAGAGCCAACTTCCGAGGTTTTGTGCAACAAGTACGGCTTTACCTATGCCTATACCCTTCTCGTTATCCGAATGGATTTACCCAGGTTGCTTTCATAGGTACTCTTCTATCAGGAAATGCTCGCTCTTGGTTTGCTCCACTATTGGAGAAGGATTCTCCAATATTGTACGACCTAGAGGCTTTCATAGAGAGACTTACTGCTGCGTTTGGAGATAGCGATCGAGAAAGAGTGGCTGAAAGAAAGATACAAAATCTACGACAAGGATCACGTTCTGCTGCAATCTATGCTGCAGAATTTCAACAGCTTACATGTGATCTTGATTGGAATGATAAGGCGTTCATGACACGATTTCGATATGGACTGAGAGATGATGTCAAGAACTTATTGATCACCATGCCTAAGGCGGATACTTTAGAAGAACTTATATCTCAGGCAATTATTTGTGACAACCGCCTCTTTGAATTACGACAAGAAAGACGATCAGGCTGGAAAAATGATGGAGCATTTGCTACATTTTCAAAAGGTCCAGAGAATCACTCCACAGATCCTGAACCCATGCAAATTGATGCAGTACGTTTCAAACCCCTCACAGCTGAGGAAAGGAAGCGACGGTTTGAACAAAACTTGTGTTTATATTGCGGAGAAGCGGGCCATAAAGCTGTAGATTGTCGGAAGAAACAGAAGCCTCAAACAACAAGACTCAGGAGTACAAGCATGCATGAAAACAAGGACGCCCAGCCACAATAGGGACCGTGCGGCTGGACATCTCAACATCCAAAATTAATCAAGGTCCCTTTCTCTCAGCTCAATCTTCAGATTGTTTTATGGTACCTTTACATCTGGGTATTCAAGAACTACAAGTCGATGCTTTATTAGACTCGGGTGCATCCGCTTGCTTTATAGATGAAGAGTTTGCCAAGCTTCACAATATTTCTCTTGTAAAGAAACTTAAGCCTGTCCATGTAGAAGTCATAGACGGACGACCATTGTCTTCGGGCAATGTTATCCATGAAACTAAACCATTGAAGGTACGTCTTGAAAACCATGAGAGCAATATTGTGTTTAATGTTATCAAGACCCCTTCATGTCCTATCATTTTGGGACTATCTTGGCTTGATAGATATAATCTATTGATAGATTGGAAGTTGCGGAAAGTGACATTTCCAACAAACTCCTTGAAGGTGGAATCTGCCAAGACAATGTCTAGAAACAAATCCTTGTTTATAGGTGCAAGGGCTTTCATGAAGGAAGCCAAGCAAAATACACCTCTTGTCATCTTCGCAACTCCGACTCGAGAAGATGCAACTCCGACTTTGGTTATTCCAAAGCAGTATGAAGAATTCAAAGATGTCTTTGAAAAGAAGAATGCTGATATACTGCCAGAGCATCGACCCTATGACTGTGCCATTGAATTGCAAGAAGGAGCACAACCACCTTTTGGACCAATCTACAATTTGTCGCAGACGAAGTTGACTGAGTTGCGGAAGTACATTGACGAGAATCTAGCCAAGAACTTCATCCGTCATTCGAAGTCGCCAGCTGGGGCACCAATCTTATTTGTGAAGAAGAAGGATGGCTCACTACGGATGTGCGTGGACTATCGAGGTCTCAACAAGGTGACAAAAAAGAATCGCTACCCACTGCCTTTTATCTCTGGTCTTCTAGAACAACTTGGGCGTGCAAGGATCTTTACAAAGATTGACCTAAGGGGAGCTTACAACCTTGTGCGAATTAAGGAAGGAGATGAATGGAAGACAGCGTTCCGAACAAGGTATGGCCATTTTGAATACAATGTCATGCCATTTGGTCTTACTAATGCTCCAGCGGTCTTTCAACACATGATGAATGACATCTTTCGAGAGCATCTAGACGATTTTGTTGTCATCTATCTAGATGATATTTTGATATTTTCTAAGAACGAGGAAGAACATGAGAAGCACGTTCGTCTGGTACTCAAAAAACTACGGGAGCGAGGACTCTATGCCAAATTGGAGAAGTGCTTATTTCACCAAACTGAGATGGAGTTTTTGGGATTCATCGCGACTACGCAAGGCTTGAAGATGGATCCAAAGAAGGTGGAAGCAATCATGTCTTGGGAAGTTCCGAAGACGGTTAGGGACGTACAATGTTTTCTTGGATTTGCTAACTACTATCGGATCTTCATCAAGAATTATTCTCAAGTTGCTGCCCCCCTCACTCGGTTAACGTGTAAGGACAAGCTCGAATGGGGACCTATCGCAGAAAAAGTATTTCAAGATTTGAAGATGATATTTACTACAGCTCCAATCTTGGTACATCCGGACTTTACAAAGGCCTTTTA